GGCCATAACTAGTGAAGGCTTGCTGGGTCCTCAGTGTGGCCATAACTAGTGAAGGCTTGCTGGGTCCTCAGTGTGGCCATAACTAGTGAAGGCTTGCTGGGTCCTCAGTGTGGCCATAACTAGCCAAGGTTTGCTGGGTCCTCAGTGTGGCCATAACTAGCCAAGGTTTGCTGGGTCCTCAGCGTCTCCCAGCTGTGCCTTTAGATTGGGGTTTTACATGAGTGTCTTTTCATTAAATGTCTTCATATTGTGCATCGCTGTCTGACATTCTAAGGACCAGTTATTTCTCTTGATTAAAAGCTAAAGCAAAGGGGCTGGAAAGATGGCTCAGAGGTTAAGAGCACTGGCTGCTCTTCCAGATTCTCAGGAACCACAGCCATCTATAATGAGATCTGGTGCCCTCTTGAAGCATGCAGGCATACATGCAGACAGACTAAAACAAACAAACAAACAAATAAATAAATAAATAAATAAATAAATAAATAAATAAATAATTGATTAAATAATAAATAAGTAAATCTTTTTTAAGAAAGAAAAAGCTGAAACAATACTTCTTTTTTTTTAACTTGTCTTTCTCTCTATTAGAAATGGTCTAGTTTCCATTCTGGAGTAGACAGTTTTGGTCCCCTAACTCTATTTCTCATTTCATAATAATAAAGTGAACCTTTTATTATTGCAGTGTTTACAAAAGTAGTCTTAGCTTAGGAAAAACAGCTGATGCCAGGCAATGGTGGTGCATACCTTTAATCCCAGCATCTCTAGGAATCTCTACGAGTTCAAGGCCAGTGTGGTCTACAGAGTGAGTTCCAGGACAGCTGAGGCAACTCAGAGAAACTCTGTCTCGAAAAGACAAAAAACAGAAAAAAGAAAAAATGAAATAAAATAAATATTATTAGCAATATATAAATGTCTGGGTCAGTTGATTGCATGACATGCTTTTATTTTGGCATCTGTCAACCCAGCACTACATTTGCCAAAAGTCAGTCCACCAGATTCCCCCCACATTGTTCACTCCCAGAGTGGCTGCTGGATCCAAACTGCTAAGGATTTGCTAAGTATGCAAAGACTAATGCCTGCAATTTTAACAGTAGGAAATATATGCTATTTATTAGACTATTTGTCCAGTTTTAAACTACATTTGTGTGTGGTTCAAGTAGGAAATGTGATCCATCAGGATGCTGATTAGGCCTAGGAAAACCAGGATAATTTTAAATAGTTTTTTGTTTTTTCTTTGTGTTTTTTCTTTTTTAAAGTTTAATTGTACTATCATATAAGTTTATATTTCAAAATTACCTAAGGCAGGTTCTCAATATGTGGACCATATTTTCCTTAGACTCTTTGGCTCAAGGCTGGAGAGATGGGCCGCTCAGCGGTTTCGAGTACTTGCTGTTCAGTTCCCAGAACCCTGTGGCCACTCACAGTGTGGTTAACTCCAGCTCCAGGGGACCTGGGGCCCTCTTCTGGCCTCTACCGCAGCAGACATACATGCAGGCAAAAACACTCATTCACATACAATTTAAAACACTCTAAATCTTTAAAAACAGAAAGTCCATTTGGCTCAAATGACCTTCCTGCTCACACCCAAACGGCTTGGCCTCTAGGAGCACAGCAACAGCCTCGGCTCACGGTGTAAACACTTAGGAATTATTTTCAAAAGGAGCCTTCCTGTAACCTTTTCTTTTAAAAAAAATTGTAGTTTTGTAATATTTTCCATTTTTGTTTTCTATTGAGATCTTTTAATTCCGTGTACCAATGCACATTCATATGAGGGAAATGACTTGCATATGTTATTATAAAAGTACATTTTCTGCCCTCGGAATATTGTGTATGTAATTGTGTAACTGACAGCTCTATCTTTTCCGACCTTCTTATCTCATTTTTTTAAATTTAGTTTTATGTAGGTTTGTGTTATTTCATTTTTCTTTTCTTTCTTTCTTTTTTCTTCTTTCTTTCCTTCTTTCTTTCCTTCTCTCTCTCTCTCTCTCTTTCTTTTTTTTTTTTTTGAGACAGGGGTTCTCTGTGTTGTTTTGGTACCTATCCTGGATCTTGATCTGTAGACCTGTTTTTTTTGTTTGTTTGTTTGTTTTTTGTTTGTTTGTTTGTTTTGCTTTTTGATTTTGGTTGTGTTATTTAATTTTTTTCAGCTGAATATATTTTGCAAATCAGTGTTTTGTTTGTTTGTTTTGTTGGTTGAGTTTTCGGGACAGGGTTTCTCTGTGTATCCTTGGCCATCCCAGAACTTGCTCTGTAGACCAGGCTGGCCTTAACTCAGAAATACACCTGCCTCTGCCTCCCAAGTGCTGAGATTAAAGGCCTGTGCTACCACCACCTGGTGCAAATCAGTGTTCTTAAACCCATATGCTTTTCAGCTAATTTCATTTCCTTTTCCAAATGGTAGTATTCACTTGTATCTTCTAAATCGTCTGTGATTCATTGTCACACAACAGGAGCTGAAGACACCGAACCTTACCACTTCTCGGCTTTCCTGTGTGTCCCTTTTCCCACCCTAAGAAAAATAGCATTCAGTAAACTATATGAAAAGCTGAAGCTGGCGAAGCCCTGAACGCCAGCCCTCTCCCTAGCAACAAAGCCCTCCCCCTAGCAACAAATCCTTCCCCTAGCAACAAAGCCCTCCCCTAGCAACAAAGCCACCCACCCACCCCCAGCAACAAAGCCCTTCCCCCAGCAATAAAGCCCTCCCCTAGCAACAATGCTCCCCTTTCCTGCCTGTCTCAGTAGATGAGGAGAATAGATGGATTCCCAGGGTCCAGACTCCCGGCTGTTGAGAGCATGAGACTCTGCAGGACGGCACCGGTGGCTTTAGGAGTGGAACAACGGTTATTTCAACTCAGGAACATCGTAAATATCACCACTGTTTTTTAGTGATCATTGCTATACATTAGAGCTGCATTCATTACAACAGCCACATGCCCACATGGTCTGTGAAGTGTGGTAAGTTTCAGGACTTCATGTGACTTCTGGTTTATCTTCCTTAGGGAATGTTTTGTTTTGTTTGTCTTTTTTTGTTTCTCCCCCTTCTTTTTGAAAAAATGATTGCCACTGGTCTCAATTCTTTTCCTTATTAGTGTCTTTTGGTCCATCTTTGTGTCAAATCTTTGCTTACTTATTTATAATGTTTTGTTCACTAACTTTATGTGGCTTTCTTCATTGACTTTTGTCCCAGTGGTATTGTTGTCTTTTTTCTCTTTAGGAA